GCCATAGATCAACACCACATAACACTTATTAAGAATTGAATTGTTTTATTTCATTTAAATGTGTCATTAAAAGTATGTTTTACCCGTCATTTTGATGAGGACATTCTTCAACACCTTCCACCTCTAACTTCTTATCTCCCATGGGCTCTTCTCCAATATCTTCATACACTTTGTGGATATCCATGATCTTCCGAAGCAGGCACCGCACACTTGGAATATATTGCCTAATCGACCTCCCTTGTAGATTCCCCTCTTCTGCTAAGTGCAATATAAACCCGAATCTTTCTTTGTTTCACCTCCAAGACTAATAAGACCCAATGATGTCTCCTGTTGAGAGGCATAAATACGTAATTAGATTCTATCCAGCTATGTGTATACTTCCATGAAGTGCCCACACTATTGTTCTCTATAACTGACACTTCTGCTGCCTTTTCAACCGTTGATTGTGAAATCAAAATTATATCATGTTCACGCTTCAAAACTTGCAAGAAATAAAAGTTGCATGTATAAAAGAACTGGAGCTTGAACTGAAATTGTTTAATTGCCAAGTAGAACATCCCTATTTCAATATGTTGCACAAAATAATTGTACAAGTTATGAACCCCTACAAACAATATTTATTTAGTCATATAAATAGACATCAAATTGAAGTTCAAGCGTACCGTTGCATCTAGCCATTATGTGTTCACAATTAGCTTTTTTTTACTCCAGGGGGGGTCTGGGGGAGGGGGCTGGGGGCCTGGAGTAATTTGCACTTTTGTGCCTAGCGGATTTCGAACTCGAGACCTCCCACTAGGCACAGTAACCTCACAACCAGCTGGGCTAGAATGCTTGGTTGTGTTCACAAATAGCTTGTATAGCCATGTCTTAGACTTTATTTTGATAGTGTCAAATAACATCGGCTCATTGTTCATGTTGTCTTCTTCCATTCTGTATAATCTTTCACTTTTCTTCTTCAACCGCTTCAGCCATCCAGCATTAAGAAACTCCTCCACCTTCTCAATTTCTTCATTTGGTGGTGGCTCAGTGGGATAATCCTCTCCAAAAGGCCCATAACTTTTTGTGAGAAAACAATTGTGTTCTTCTCTTCTTTTGGCAATTTCTTTCCTCCTCTTTCTTCTACCACTTTCTTCAGCTAGTGTGTATCGATCAGGTGATCGTGCATGCCGCTTTGGTCTTCCATGCCCCACTATATTTTCATGTCCCTTTCAAGATAAAAAATAATATTCGAACTAGTTAATCACATTACTACAAACCTTATAAAAACGACTACTCATATTCGAATTGGTTAATCTCTTCTTCTTTTGTCATCTCTCACCTGAACTGGTTGTTTTTCGCACCCCATTTTCTGCCCTTCCTGCATTTGAACACATTCATGCTTATTTAAAGATATGCATTCTATATCACATAAAGATATTTAATGAACCTTTATTACCTCTGTGTTCATTGGTGGTATTATGCTGATTCCTCTACTTACATCATTTCCTAACACTTGTTTTTTCATGTTGTCTATGTTTGTGATCAATTCATTCATAAACTGCGTCTTGACATCATCACAGATGTTTGCTGTTTTGGTTTCCTTGGAATTTGTTTTCTCATTTTTCCTTTCTGGCTCGCACATCTCTGCTTGATCTCCTTTTTCTTCCCCATCACACTTTTCTACCTCTGCCCCTACTCTTTCCTCATTAGCTTCTTCACCTTCATTATCTTCCATTCTTTCCTCATTTTCGTTTTCATACTCTTCCCTCATATCCTCCACTCTATCATCACGCATTTTCTCTTGCGACTCTGGCCCAAATATGTTAAAATTTGGTGTACCCAATACCCCGTCCTGCTTCCCAGTACCCACACTGCCTCCTTCTGCACCTGCACCCTTCTCTTGTTGCTTGGATTCTAATATGACATGTGTATTATTTTCATTTCCATTCACTTCATCCTCTATAGAATCACCTTCAGTGTCCTCATGTTGTGTCAACTTCTTGAAGTGTGACTCTATTTCTCCAAGTTTTGGGTGTTGCCTCTTCTGTTCCTTTTTCATTGCTTTCAGTTCTGCCACCAATTTTGGAATTTGCTTTCATTATCTTGGCATTTTCCAAATCCAACCATCCCCATCTCATCACCATCCAGCTCATTTTGTTCTTCCTTCTCTTCTCCCCACTGCTATCTGTTGTACTCTTTCTACCACTCTCCCTCTTCCCATCCACCCCATCTTCTTTATTTCTACCACTTTGTCCAATCTACAACCTTAACCTTCTATTGTTTACTAACATAGGAAATTTATTAATTTCCTCTTCAGCAACTACCATGTTTGACCATTCAAACTACAATGAAACATGACATATTAACAAGTTATATATTTTTCTTCACATACCATATGTATAATACAAATATGAAACAACTTACATTCTCATTGCAGAAAATAATTTCACTGAATACAACCATAGAAGGTTTTTTGGTAAATGACCACTTCACAGCCATTGGAATTCTTCTTTCTTTACCTTCCTTGATATTGCAAATTCCAACTTTTTGTAGACCACGCAAAGTTTCAAATGCCCAAACTTAAAGAACAATTAAACATCCTGGGAGCGTTGCTCATTTACCTTTGCACTTCTGCAAACTCTTCACATTTGTTACCATGTTTTTTAGTAATTTGTTCCACACATCATCACCCCACAGGTAATCATTAAACGCAGCCAAATCTTCCACCAAGTTCACATACGATGCTGGTAGCTCCCGTGCCACCTTATTTCCAAATAATCCATGTGATAAGACGTGCAGAAGTGCAAGCTTAACACCATCTTCTCTCTGCTTCCGGGTCATTACTGTCATACTTCTTCAAAGCATCCACGACATCAGTTCTTCTTACACTTTATGCACTTCCAAGATATTTCTTCCAGATATGTCCACTTAGCTGCTCCTGCACCTCAGGCTTTTCTCCACCCATTTCTAACAACAAACATATGTCTGTCTTACAAAAGATTATGACGTTGTTTTGAATATGAAATCGAATGACACCATTCTCCTTCAGTTTGTTCACTATTTTCACATAGTTGTATATTAATTCAAGCTGCAACTATCCACTTGTTATTTTCATTTCTTCTATGTTCAGTACCCATCCAAAAACTATGTTGCTAAAAACCTGTAATTCTTCCTCCAATTTCTTCTTTATCCTCTTCATGACCTCACTTACATTGCAATAGCAATTAATCCTCATGTTATCCATGTTATTCGGTTCCTTCTTCCTAAATGCTCTTCCAATGACCTATTACACCAATTAACAATATGCATCATATACTTTAAAAGAATTGACCAACTTACTTACTATTATGTCAACCAAATAAAACTATTTTCACAATACATTATTCCCTACACCATAACATTATTATCTCAAAATTCATGCACAAATCTTCCACATAATGACTCACCTTCTTCCTATTTCAGTTCCAATATGGTATATTTGTTATTTCATTTACCCTACCTGTTCCAGGAAAGTTGTTGCCAACATGTAATGACCACTGTGTTTCCAATTTACATTAACACGTGCACAACTTTTTTCCATGACCAATTTGATTCCAAAATTGTCACAAACTGTGATATGTACTATTTGTCAATCACTTAGGAGAGATGTAACTCATTATTCCATATTTGTCTACGTTTTATTCCATAAATTTGGAATATTCTTCAGCCTTCATCACATTCTCTGCCATGTCATTCCTGCTATGAATTTCCGTGTAGTTTTACTCCTGCTTTAGGCAATTTCCGTAACTTTTAACATTCTATTCCTGCTATGCTATCTACATTTTCAAAGTTTCTTCTTTGTTTTATATCACATTCTCTCCCATGTAATTCCAAATATGACATGTATTGTTAGTCATTCACATATTTCCATTCGTTTGGCAGAAGTAAGGGTTTATGAATCGTAAAAACAAATTACCATTTCGTCATTGATGCGCACGGTTAAAGGATGACCAGGTTTTTGAGTCTCGGAGTCATCATCTGCCATCTTTAATATAGATTCGGTTTTAGCCGTACCGATCAATTTCGATTCATGTTTATGCTAGGATCGTAGGACACATTGCACCAAATGATCTCCCTTAAAGCTAAGAGACATTTTTGTAATAAAAGTAATAATCAATATATGAATTAGCCAAAAGGCGTTTTTCATTTTAATATTCCAGAAGTTATGTTATTAACTACTCCGTATAAAAATTATACTCGTACAAAATTTACACTTCAAACCTAAGGCTAACCGCAACCCAACTCCGTTAATAAATCAAATTTTCCACAACTTTATACATATTCACTCAATCAATTCATTTTTTGTTGCAACCCAACACCGTCAATATATTCACTCTGCAACGTTTTTTAATAAAGGTCTTACTTTTATTATGTTACATCAATTTTTTCCCAATATTTTGTTGTGAATAATTATGACTTGTAAATCCAAACATTCCAATGTAAAAATAAATAAGTATGGACTTAATTTTTTTGTTACTTCATACATATTTAAAAAAAATTGAAAGATGTAAATAAAATAAAGTGATAAGTTAAAATTATTATTTGAATCTATTTAAGAATTTTTTTTGTCTGAAAACCTCATTTAGTTGTTTTTTTGTGTTTTATATATGTAATATTGATGTCATATAAAAGATTATAAAAAGTTCTGAATTTTGGTATATTTTTTGTAAAAATGAAGCTAAAATAAAAAAGTTACAACACTTTTTTAAAAAATTGGATTTTTTTTAACATGGCCCCACCCTTTCCCACTGGAGGTGTGCCTCCAACCCACTTTGGCACCCCTCTGTACATTGGATTGCGGTGATTTATGGGGTGAAAAGCTCAAAATGGGCTTTTTCACCCCAAGGTCCCCAAGGTTGCAGTCAGTCTAAGAGTTAGAAGTAGGGAAAATGGTGCTTAAAGCTATATATTCAATAATATAAATATAGAATTGATTTGAAATCTAAGGTATTATTAGTATATATGTTGTGGCGACAATCATTTTTTAAAGATATAACTTGATCACATTTAGTTTTATATATGATATATACGGTATTACACATTGATGATTAAACATTTCGATTGTCAATGTTTTATTCATTTTTTTGAAGGAAAGAAACTTAATTAGTATTAATCAAATCATTGTTCAAAATACAATTAAGAAAAACCGGAGGAACATCAAAGCAAGTTTGCAAATCAGGTAAAGAACAAGCCGCTCATGGACAGCCTTGTTCGCTGATCGCCTCGCGTGAGTAAAAGAAATGTAATAAAAATTCTCCGACAAGAGGAGCTGCTTGAAACTTTATGTAGTTCTGCAATGGCACTCGCTGAATCGGACTCCACTTCAAATCAAAATCCAGTATCCAACTCAAAGCCTCCTTGATGCCTACTAGTTCCGCTGTCTAAGGGGGATAAGTTCCCCATCCACGGTCGAGCCCCTCCAGCCACAAAACTCCCTGCCTCATCCCGTAGACACCAGCCCAGACCCACCCTCATACACGAACCGCGGCATCCACGTTCAGTTTCGACCGCCCCAAGGTTGGTTTGCTACAAGATGCCACCCGATCTTTCTGACTTTGGTGACCTACACTTCTGGAAGTCTGAACCTCCTATAACAGCTTTTAACAGAAAAGAGGCCATTTCTTTCCCATCTCTAACAAAGTTTATCCGGTATATCTCGTAAACTAATCGGGATACTTTTGATTAATGAAACATCTTTCTCAATAAATAAATCCTTAAGAATATCCCCATCCCACTCACGCCTCCTGACAACAAAGAGATTAGTCATTGTAGTCTCCTGCAAACCATTAATAATACTCCCTCCGTTCCTATTTTATCTTCCAAATAGATTTGGCACACAATTTAAGATAATGGGTATTGTGTGGTGGAGAGTTGTGCAGAGGAGAGAAAAATGTGTAAGAAATGTTGTGAACCACAAATTCTTTACTAAAAAGGGAAAGTGGAAGTTTTAATTGGAACGGACGAAAAAGCAAAGTTGGAAGTTTTAATAGGAACGGAGGGAGTATCACTTAAGATTCTGGGATTATTAAGATCGGGCAGCCAGGGATCTTTCCAAATGTTGATAGATTTACCATCTCCAACCCGCCAAGGAAACCCATCCCGAATGAGATCTTGGGTCTCAAAAAGACTCTGCCAAATGAAAGAAGGGTTACTTCCAAGATTAGCTGATAAAAAGTCACCTCTTGGAAAATATCGAGCCTTAAAAACCTTCCCTACTAAAGAATCTGGGTGAATAAAAAGACGCCAGACTTGTTTAGCAAGCATTGCTAAGTTAAATTCCCGCAATCTCTTGAACCCCAAACCCCCTTCCTTTTTCGGCCGACATAGGGCAGCCCAATCTTTCCACCTTATACCTCTCCTCGATTTCCCCTTCCACTAGAAGCTATTCATCAGGACTTCAATTTCCTGACATAAATCATTAGGCAACAAAAACACATTCATGGCATAAATCGGCATGGCCGGAATAACCGATTTCAAAAGAATCTCCCATCCCGCTTTAGATAAAAAATTATTATTCTAACTAGTAATTCTTTTCACCACTCTCTGTCTGATGTAGCCTAAAATAGCTCGTTTACCCCTCCAAATTAACGTCGGGAGACCCACTCCCAAAGTATCCTCACTACTAGCCAAACCCACTCCCAACAAATCAATCAATCCCTCTCTGAGCTCAGCTAGGACGTTAGAACTAAAGAAAACCTTTGATTAGTTAAAATTTATTACCCGACCCGACGCTTCTTCATAGTCAATCAATGTCTCCTTAATTAAAGATGCTTCCGAATGAGTGGCTCGAAAAAATAGCAGACTATCATCTGCAAAAAATAAATGAGAAATACTCGGAGCCCCTTGGGCCACTGAAACCCCGTGAAGGCGGCCCATAGATTCATATTTACGGAATAAGGCACTAAGTCCCTCTGCCACAAGTAAAAATAAATAAGGAGAAAGAGGATCCCCTGGAGCAGGCCTCTCCCAGGAAGCGGCAGATCAATCTCTGAGTCATCAAACGGAATAGAATAAGAAACTGAAGAGACGCATTTCAGGACCAAATGCACCCATCAATCGTCAAAGCCCATGTGCCTCATCATTCCTTCCAGAAAGGACCGTTCCACCCGGTCGTAGGCTTTGCTCATATCTAGTTTCAGTGCTACAAATCCCATCTTACCATTCCGCTTTCGTTTCAAAAAATGCTGAGACTCGAAAGCTAACATAATATTATCAACAATATGCCTACCCGGAATGATCACACTCTGCTGTTCTGACACACAAAGGTGTAACAGATGTTTAAATCTGTTCGCTAAAAGCTTAGAAAAAATCATATATATAACATTACACAGCGCTACGGGCCTCCAAACACCAATAACTTCCGGACTATCTTTTTAGGGATCAATACAATATTAGTATGATTAATTCTCTCCGGAAGTTTACCTGTCTCAAAAATCCCCTTACAAAAATTAATAACATCAGGACCCACGACATCCCAATAGTGTTGATAAAAACCCGGGCTCATACCATCCGGTCCGGGTGATTTATCTGGATACATGGCGAATAAAGCCTCTTTGACTTTAGCCCCACTAATTGGCCGAAGGAGCTCCTGGTTATGGGATTCATTTATCTTACGTTGGACACAACTGAACACGAAATCTCCCCTACCAGTACCTGCTGAGAAGATTTGAGAAAAATAGTCTCCAATCAACTTCCCTATCTCGGACCTGTCTTGCTCCCACTGTCCGTTTGAAAGCCTCAAACCTTCAATCTTATTCTACCGCCGTCTATGCTTAACGGAATTATGAAAATAACGGGTATTAAGGTCTCCTCCAACCAACCAAAATTCTTTAGCTCATTGACGCCAAAAAAAGATTTTCTTTTTCCAGCAAATCCAAATATTATTGCTTAACCCGCTGGAATTCACCCGTACACCATGAGTCCGTGCGATTGCGTAAATACTCCCATAGGAGCCAGCTTTCCGAGACTAAATTCCGGTCCAGCTTCTCTTCGACCCAGTTCCGAGAGCCTCTACCCCGTTCCCAGGTAAATTGGTATCTGTGGAATGCAAAATTCCTCAACCCATATGCCCAAACAGTCTCCCGAAAACCCCTTTCCAGCCACGGTGGATGAGGAGCTCTTTCGCGTTTTTCAGAATCAAACATAAGATCATTAAAGTCTCCCATAACAAGCCATGGATGATCATTACCATGACTCAACGTTTTAAGTAACACCCAAGACTCCCTGTGTCTACTCCATTCTGGACATCCATAGAAACCCGTACGTAAATCGCCAACAAACTGCCCCATGGTCTAAACAAACCTTAACATCAATAAAATGAGAAGAAGAGTGCAGCAACTGAACTTGAATTCCTTCCTCCCAAAGTAAAGCCAAACCTCTGCTATGTCCAACATTATCAACTACCACACAATGAGCCATGCCCACCTTTCTTCTAATAATCTCCATCCTATCATAATTGGACAGAGTCTCCATCAAAAAATCAACGACGGCCGCTTCAAGTGGACCACGTCCACTAACGCTTGAACTGTCGCCGGGTTCCCTAGCCCGCGACAGTTCCAACTAAAACAACTCATGATTCTCGTCGGGTCTGGGAACCAAAACCCGCCGCTACACCATTTTTTGGAAAGTAAACTTCCGTATTTTGTGAATTAAAAGTCTTCTCATGTGAAGACCCCGCAACAGTCCCCACATCAACTGAGGACTTCCTTTTTCTGGTGGAAACCCCCACATCCTGTTGTGAGATTTTGATGCCTTCCTCCACCAGCATATTACTGCTACCTCCCGAACATATAGAACTCAAAGGACTCCCATGCAAAAATTGGCCTGCTTCATTAGTCAGCCATCTACTGCCCCTGCCCGAACCCCCTCTTCTATTTCCAGCATGTAACCAACTTCCATACTCCTCCTTTCCTTCCTCAGCAAATGCAAAACGTTTAGGACACATGCGATCCGTGTGACTCATAAGACCACAAATGAAACAAAAGTGTTGTAATCTTTCATACTTCAAATCTATCCAAATAGGTACACCGGCCCGTTTGAGTTTCACACGACGCCTCAAGGGAACGTCCCCAGCAATTGACACTAATACGCATGTACTCGTACAAATCCCCTTTAAAATTGTTATCATCCACTTATATAAAAGCACCAACCTGATTGCCAATGATTATAGCAACTTTCTCCGTGAAAAGCTCGAAAGGTATATTGTATGCATGGACCGAGAATGCCATATGAGTTAAAGGAATCAAGGCCGGATTAGACTTAGTCTCCACCTTCTGTAAAATCAGCAGAGAATTGTCGAAACACCAAGGCCCATCCACCCACATTCTTTCAAAATCAACAATATTGACAAATTGAAATAGGAACCTGCGTTCTCCAAATTCACGTATATTCACTCCTCCCCCCGGACGCCAAACATCAGCCATTGTATCTCTGAAAAAGGGAAACTTGATCGACCTATCCGTTAATAGCCTTCCGACCATGCAAAGTGGTGCCTCAACCCGCACCTCATCTCCCAAAACTTCATCCAAATCCACCCCGTCTTCTTCATCATCGTTGAGATTCAACTGAGCATACGTCTCCTCCATGTCTTCCGCCATAACGACGGTAGAAATCAGAATTCGACAGCAACCTTTCCACGTGAACAGTGAAAGTAGCGGCGAAACCCTAGACAACTAGGCAGAACTAACTAATTTTTGGTACATGTACATATTACGCACGAGAATATTAAAAAATGTCAATGTTTTATTCATAATTATGTTCCCTTGGACTTATGTTGTCACTGAGTAAGTGAAAATTTATATGATAAAACATAGTCCTAAAATAGCTCCACAATGATCATCAACAAAGGGATATTGATTATATGTGATAAGATAGATATGTGGACTGCATCATATCTTTAGAAAGTATAGTTGATCTCACAACTATGAGTTCTTGTAATTCATGATGGTCACATACATATTTTAGAGAATATTTGCATACTCACTGAGAAACCATTTAATAAGTTTTGCTCATGTGTCTATGAGATTATCGGCGTATAAAGTAATGTAATAGTCCTCCGACTTGAGGTCAATACGTACTACATGTGCGGAGTGATGTACTTTGATCATGACCAACGTTTGCACTCTAATCAGGGTAGATACGTCATGTGTTGGATACATCATGAAGCACATGGAGTAGTAATTGAACCAAGAAAGGATTCATTCCTCGTAATAGATTAAGAGAGAACATTATACTTCGCATATCTAGATCATAAAGTCATTGGCCACTATAAATATATATTCATTTTGGATATCGAATATAATTGTTATGTATCATCGAGAAAGATGAGAGATAGAGACTAAGTTATTGGAATAGACACAATATCAAGTTCTAAACTTAATCGAATGTTCGTTGAATGAAAGGACTGTATCACTATGATCTTTATATTATAGGGAGTTTGAATAGTCCTCACAAACGTCCTTATATATTAATATTGTCTGATAAATCATCTAGGAATTCTGGTAAGAACTTAGTTTGATTAGTGCTTAATATATAAGGCCATATGGGTCACACAACAAGTGATTATACACTCTAAATGAATTGTTAAGGAATTAAATATTATTATTTGGATTAAATAATATTTAATTCATAATGTTGAGAATAAGATGAGTTAAATATTAATTAGATTAGTATATTTAATTCATCATGAAGGATTATTCTATTTGATAGAATTAATTAAGTAAAATAAATTAGACTTATTATACATAATTAAGATGTATTTGTAATTAAATAAAGTTGGTGTTTTTTTTATGATTTGGAATTAAAAGGTAACAGAAATAAAATAAATAATAATGTATATATAACTAGTAGAGAGTGGTTCTACTTAATCTACTTATTTAATTAAGCAGACAGAGTCATGTGTTTAGACCCGTTTTCAGATATGGTCATATGTTTCATTTTTTATCAAAGTGGTTCATGTGTTTGAATACCGTTATCACAAGAGGGTCCTGACACTTGACGCCGTTAATAATATTCTGAGGAAGATGATCAACAATAACTCCGATTTTCAAAAGTGCCCGAAAAATTTAAAAAAAAAATCAAAAGGTGCGCCTCAACAAGACGATCGCTAGACCATCTTTCTTTTTTGTTTTCAGCCACCCTTGTCAGTTATGGCCAGAAAGTCCACCAGAAACGTTATATTAGCAAATTAATTTTTCAAAAATAATCCAAACAAATCCAAAAAATTTAAAGGCAAACGTGGTTTGGAGGTCATCTTGATGAAGCGCTCATTCTTGTATTTTTCTTTTAATTTTCCGAGCACTTTTGAAAATTGAAGTTACTATTAATCTTCTTCTTCAAGCGTTTTTAATGGCGTGACCCTTTTATGATAACGGAATTTAAACGCATGAATCACTTCGATAAAAAAAATGAATCACATAATCCTATCTGAAAGCAGACTCAACCACAAGTACATTTTCCTTACTTTTTCCTTTAAATAATAATGAAGTGTTGATCATTATTAGGGGTGGACTCGGGTCCGGGCCGGGTCCGGGTCGGGCCTAGGCCCGGGCGGGCCGGCGGTTCAAGAATGGTGGACCCGGGACCGGCACGGGTAGCCACCGGGTCCGGTCCGGGTCCGGGCCGGGCCTCCGGTTTTTTTTTTTTTGCTTTCCTAACCCCCCCTCACCCCCCACCCTCCCAAACCCCCCCAAACCCCCCCAAACCCATCAAGCCCAACCCGGGTGGAACCCCAAAAATGAAAAAAAAAAAAAATCAATTTGGCCTGGGCCCGGGCCCGACCCGGCCGGGCCGGTTCACCAAAATTGAGACCCGAGCCCGGACCCGCCCTACCCCCCGGGCCTAGGCCCGACCCGGACCCGGACCCGAGAACCGGTCCGGTCCCGGTCCCGCACAGTAGCGGGCCGGGCCGGTCCACGGGCCGAGTGGTCCGACCCGAGTCCAAGCCTAATCATGATAGAACTAGAAGTCATTAATGAGAAAGAATTTCATTCGGATTGGGAAATTAGTTTAGAACCAGTATAAATACATCATCACGCTTCATAATTTGTAGGCCAGTTTTCTAGATTCAGCATCACCAGTTTATTTACTATCTTTTCCCTTTGGGAGATCTAACCGTTCTTTCGAGAAGGAGTAATCATGTGAATACCTGAGAATCTAAGATCAAGTATTATCAGTGCTAGACTGGAAGATCCATAAGTTCTAACTCAGATCTATTATTTTGTTATATTCGTTATTTTGTCGTAATCAGAGAAGATCTGTTTGGAAAAATTTTAAACTTCCGTTGTTCTACTTTCAAGGTACGTTACATGAATTTCCTAACAAATATTACATTTGAACCTAAGGTACATTATCGAATAATATATCAAGCAAACAATACACGCAAAAACACTATTTTACCAAAGACTTGAGCTTCTACATCTTAAAAACCACGTTGATTTCCATAAACAAATTCATAATATGCTTTTGTATTACAAAATTGAAAAGATTCGCCACCTAAAAGACACAGAAAGAAGGGTTCATCATCATCAGCTCCTAAAGGGTTTACATCTGTTCATACTCTCCACCTAAAGGGCGTTGGATTTGGATATAATATGCAAACTAACCACATTTTCAAGGTTTCATAAACATTTTGCGGAACTCATCATTTGATTTAGGGTTCTCGTCACCTTTATCTGCTATTTGCTCTGATTTCTGTTTACTCTTGATTACGGCTCTTGGCATTGCAAATACATTCTTACCCATCAGCTGGATTTTATCTCCCTGTGTATCAACTGAAGGGGCTCTTTTAGGCACTCGACTCTGATTTGAAACTTCACCGCTATCATTGGGGTCTGATTTTGATACTTGACCACCACGATCCGCTGCCACAGAGGTATTAAAAGAATAAAAGATAAAATGTAGATCCATGATTGATTTTACACATTTCATCATGATGGGGTTGATTGGAATCCAAAAAATTATAGGAAAAGAAAATAGAGGGCAAATTTTAAAGGAGAAAAATTGGGGGGAAATTTGAAGAGAGAAAATATGGTGGGAAATCGAAAAGAGAAAATTTGGGGGGCAACCGTCATCGAAATCGGACTGGAGACCCTTCAGAAACCGTTAAATCATACACAGAGGAGTCGGAGTATTCCACGAACAGATATACAACTCCCACGTCCAATACACCAAGAGCAAGTGTGGGAAAACTGAATAGGCAAATAAAGGAAAAGACTAACTACACTAATGCTGGAATGTAATTGTGCAATTTCCGAATTTTGTAATTGTGCAATTTCCAAATAGTTTCCACCTAGCACTGTGGCTGTCTACCACCTCAACTTCAAGAACAATTTTATGCTGGTTTAATTATTGTTTGTATTCTAGGTATTACTCATTAACTTCAATACTAGTATATTTTATTGTTCAAATATATAAATACTCCCCCAGTCCCAAATTGTAAGATACATTTACTATTCACTTGGTCAACACAAATCACTCTTAATCTTTTACTTTGTATATCAAAAGTTTATGAAATTTGAATTATTTTTTGCAGCTTTTGTAGCGGTTTTAATGTAGTTTCTGAATATGTAAATTTTATTTTCTAAAACTAATTTGAGTGTTGACAGGGATCAATTTGCTTTATCATCGATCAAACATCGTAAACCGTAAATTATCTTACAAATTGGGACGGAGGGAGTATATATTAGGGTCCTTTATAATGTATATAGGTTTTTTTATTGTGTTGACTGGGTTAATCCGGTTTAGACCAGGCTGACCCAGCGAGTCCGGGTTGAACCGTGACCCAATCATTTGGTCAGGTCAATTACCGGTCCGGTTCTTACAACATAGATTTTATGCCAAAAAAATCGGTATCATATAAAGACTAAGAATATACTAATATTTGTGTATATATTTTGAAAAGTTTTAATGAAATTTAATACTCCCGCAGTCTCATTTTGTAAGATACTTTTCTTATTCACTTGGTCAACACAAATCACTCTTAATCTCTTACTTTATATATCAATTTTTTATCAAATTTGATTCTGGTTTTTGCGACTTTGTAAAGCTTTTAATGTAGTTTCTAAATATGTAATGCTTTTTTTTATAAAAATAATTTGAGTGCGAACAAGGATCCGTTTGCTTTATAGCCAGTAAAACATCGTAAACCGTAAAGTAACTTATTACAATTCGGGACGGAGGAAGTAATACTTTTGTATTTTTGTATTTTCCAAGGTAAAATTAAAAAACTGGCTTTGTCTCTTTTTCCTTCCCTTCAATTTTATGTTTTAAAGTTAAGTTTGTGTTAACTTTCACCAACCATTTTTTGGGGCCAGTCCTTTTCCTCTTTTCTGCCGAGGATCTGACTTCAGAATGCTCAGATTCTTTCCGTGCAGTGTTTGCTTATTCTTTGCCAGAGCTGCTACCAGGTGTGCATCATCACAAAAATCCACATAGGCTAATCCCTTCAAAATTGTAGACAGAAAAATTATAAACTATGGAATGCAAAGCCCCCGGATGATGCACATATACAGAACATCAAGAGCTTGCTTCAAAAGGAGAGAGATGGAGGAATTGAGAGAACAAGAAAAGTACTCTTGATTTTCCAGTGAACTTGTCAGTCAATATTCGAATAGCAACAACTCCACCAACATCACTGAAGAACTTCTGTAGGTCATCATATTTGGCCTGATCAATTATTTTTAAACAAATTAGTTGT